TTCCTCCATACCAGCTAACTGAATGGGTTTTATAAAGCAAAAAAAGAAAGAAAGGAAGAAAGGAAGAAAGGAAGAAAGAAAGAAAGAAAGGAAAAGAATACAGTGTCATATACTTTAGGTGTTTTCCTGGTCAATGAAACCAATATTCAAGCTACATGTAGTTCGTCACTGCTGACAGGTACAGCTAAAACAAAGGGCTTCGATCTTGCTCACGTAAGGCTGCTTACGATGAACGGAGATATCGAGATACCGAAATATTGGAAGGCAACGTGAATAGCGATGCCCGTGCTAAAATGAGATCGACTTCCGATTCAACATCATTCACGCCCACAGCCTGTTTGTGTGCTGAGATGTCTTTCTCACATAAGCGCAGAGGGACTATAAGAGAAGCTTTTCCTGCAACTCGACTTCGCTTATCTTGGGAGCAGCATCCCCCAACTAATCTTTGAAAGGAGCAATTGATTTCCATTTGGTACGTTTACCTCTTAAAAATATCGGCGGCCAAACGAAAACACCATTTTAGTTTGCTTTGGAAAATTTATGGCGCGACGCTCATTATATGGTTAGAAACTGTGCCTAATCTAATTTATTTTTTTAGCGCTGAGTATTTTAGAGAGCTAATCCCAATTTAATTTTTCCACTCCTGCACCTGTCTACCCTGCAAGCCGTCACAATTTACAAAATAAGATAACACATTTTTTTACGTCGTTAAAAATTAATGCAGTGAAATTTCCTCTATGCTGTAGTAACATATACCTAATTCATTTAGCAGTCTAGGGTGACGCATGAGTGGTATCGCGCTTAAAAAATGCAAACAACGGTAATTTTGAATTCTGGATTTAAAACTTTTTCCCGGAAATAAAAAAATAGGGGATAAGAAGGAAAGAAAATAAGAGCGTATTGGTAACCGAGCCTCCTTTCGAGTGACATGTTATTGCGTGACACCATCGCAAAAGACGAACGTCAATGATTCATTTCATCTGTTAGGATGCTCTGGCTCGTTCTATAAAAAACAAACTTCCATTCTTATTGTGAAAGGAAGACTTGTAAAATGTGAGTGTTCCAACTGAAATATGGTTATAACTGTCCAGCAATGCGACGTTTCCGGCAGGAACCTTCGTGAGATGTTTTCAATGTGATTTGGTATACACCGCCTGTAGTGCTGTACTATCGAAGCTGTTGTCAAGTCTCTTTATAACAAGATTGAGGCAAGGAACCAATCTTAGAAAGGTGTTTTTCGCCAGGTGAGCCTAAGAAATCCAGTTTACAATCTAGTATAGGTCAAAGCGATAAGATTTTGTTGGAATTATGGCTTCGATAATAAAAAGCCTAATTGAATTATCTGCGGTTGTTTACATGGCGGCATTGCGATTTGCACGAAATAGACCGGGCTACTTCTTCGCAGTAATTAAGAGCCCCAAATTAATTTTTATATCCATGGAAAGAACATTCTTTCCACTTTGTAAAAATGCTCATCTCAAGTGATTCCGAGTTATACCAGGCAGGAAAAATTTTTATTGAAAAACTGCTCCAAAATGTAATTTTTAATAAATCAAATTTTGGCTATTTTCAAATATTCGCCAATAATTCATAGTTATGTCAACAAGCCCGTTATTAGATTCAAATCATTTTTTTAATACCTCGTATACAAATAGGTAAAATTCAGAAAGACTTGCTTTCTTTTGCGCTTTTGAGGAATAAAGGTTTTGTTGCCCTACTCGTCGACTTCATTTCGGTCATTTTATGGCGGTTGGGGCTCGATACAGTGTTTGGTGGTTTTCTAGAAAATAAAAACAGCTCTGAACAAAAAAATTATACCACGTTTATAGACTTACCCTAAGGTATCTCTGAGCGAAATATGAGGATAGTGATTTTTCCGATCATGTGCCACCTCCCACGCGGTGATAAAAAAAATTCGCTCTTAACTTCTTTCAAGGCTACTCGGCTGGGACTCCCCAGTCTTCTGTTCCTTGTGTGACATCAGCAATATCAATCCGTGAATGGGTCTTTCCAGGTAAGACACAGTAGCTCCCGTTCTCTTTCCTTTCACATCTCGAGACTGATCTGTAACTGCTACCTTTACCTTCCGTACATAACCATCTGCATCCGGGTAAGTGGTCTCAACGCGGGCAAGCTTCCAGCAGTTTCTAGGTACACTGTCATCTTTCAGGATGGCGATGTCTCCAACCTCAACATTCTTCATAGGCGTGGTCCACTTCTGTCTGGTCTGGAGGGACTGTAGGTAGCTCTTTCTCCAACACTGCCAGAATTCGTCTGCTAGTTGCTGTACTCGACGCCAACATTTCTTGGAGTAAACATCGGGTCCTTAGGGATTCGTCATCTAATTGATTTCCATGATTCTCCAGAAGCCTGGTCAATACGCTCCATACGGTCTTAATCTGCCTTTCCCACACGCCTCCCATGTGACTAGCATGTGGAA